CGCAACAGGTCAACGGAGGTGCACGAGGGAGAATCGAACGGGACGGGAACGAGCCTCGTGGAACAGCAGGAGGCGGGAAGGCTTCCTTTTTTTTTTCCGAAGAGGCGTCATGGCAGCTGTCAGGAATTTGTGTGAACTCACAAATGTGGACGCGCCGACGGGACCCGCGATAGGGCTGGGCGCAGGCTTGGCGCTGTCTGGCGTCTGTTTGTCTGGACCCTTCGATGGCTGCCGCAAAACTCCGACCGGAAAATTCAGCCACTCGAACAAACCAAACGCTTCCCGTGGCTCCCTCACGTGGAATCGGAGCGGACTGGGCGCTGGATCCGTGCACTCTGCTTTGACTGGACCCGCTTTCTGGAACTTCCGTCGGCTCTGAAACGGGTCCCGCTGTCCTGTCGATGGTCACGCTGGTCAAGCCACGCTTTCATGCAAACGAGCCGGCCGGTAAACTCGAGTGGAGTCCGGTGGAAGCCAGCGATGCGATTCACTCGCGGTCTTTCACCTGTTACCAGATCCACGTCATTGCTGCCAATTGCGTGCTAACCCCCTAGTCAGAGTAGTCTGCGGCCGTCTCTGATCCATCCGGTATGGACGCTTTGAATCGTTGGCGTGCTCTTGATCAACTCCCAGAATGCAGGCTGATGCGGGAAGAGAGAGGCATTTCATTGCAGCACGGAACACGGCGAGCTCGATGTTCGCTATTGCGATGAAAGGAAACGAGGTCAGGACTTTGACTTGGTGGCAGTGGCAGCCCAGTCAGCATAGTCGCCAATCGTCTGTTCGAGGCTCTTGTACTAGATGCCCAGCACGTCGCGAGATGCCGAATTGTCGTAGCCCGTAAACTTCCTCTTCCTCTCCTCGGCATCTGCAGGAATGTCGACTCGATCAAAGGGCAGATCGGGCTGGCGGTCTTTAGCCCAATTGATCGCTTCGTGGGTGAGAGGCTGTCCTGCCACCAGGAGGAATCTGCCACCATCCGCTTCTTTGCGCTGCATGGCCTGCAAGTGACCGCGCACTGTATCCTCGAGGTCGACAAACGCCATGGGCTGTGCGGACTCCTGCACAGGGCGAGCTGTGAGTGTTTGCCACAGCATACCGTTTGAGCCGCTGATACTACCTGTAACGGGCCTGCCCACAACAAATCCCGGATGAACAGCTGCAAAGGCGAACGACGGCTTGTGCTCGTGCACAAACTCCCAAGCCGCTCGTTCGGCCAGAGCCTTGCTTGCAGCATAGATGGTCATCGGGCTAGTTTTTCCATTTGCAAGTCCCGCCCCGAGCTCAATGGCGTAGTCGTAGGTGATCGGATTCCAATCTTTCTCCGTAAAGCTGCCGTCGGTGTTGGCACGTCTGACGTCCATAATCGAAGCGATGCTGGCGGTTAACACCACCTTTCGAACCGAAGGCGTGTGGCTTGCATCCTCCAGTAGCGACAATACGCCGAGTTTGGCAGGATCGAGATAGTCACGCTTGGCATCGGTCTTGCCCTCGCCTGGAAGCGGAGATGCCATGTGGAAAACATGCGTCACATCTATTCCCGCCCGGAAAAAGAGTCGGATCAGAGATGGCTGGCCGACATTTTTGGTGGATTGGGTGCGTACCTTGGAGAGCTACTCTGAAGGCATTGGGGGCAATGATGTCAGGTACGATGGCGATTCCCAGCCTGCCTACGGTGGAAGCAGGGAGAGCAGCACGCAGATCGTCGCCCGCCTGTTGACGTCGCACAGTTGCACGCACGTGTTTGCCGTCTTGCAGCAGCTGCCGAACGAGCGCAGCGGCAATGTAGCCTGGTCACTCCGTAACGATTGAGTCAGTGTCTTGCTGGCGCTGTCATTGATCGGATGTTCTGCGTACCATTGGCGCCCGTCACGAGGAAGAGCTCTTGTGCCAGCTCTTGTGCCGACATGATCGAGCTTTTCGCAAGCGTGCGTGTCAGTCTCGAGGGATAGGATAAGCGCTCCTCCTCCTCTTGTCTGCGCTCCAACCAGCGTGGCTTTATACCTGTCAGCCTCCGCACCAACCGACATCAGCCCGAAGCGAGCACGCATAGCAAGCTCCCCCGTACACAGACCTTCTTCGTAAAGCCGGATTTGCTCGGCGCAATATTGCCGAGACACCTGTCAAAATTGCACGCGCGCTTTTGTCCCCAAGGCGTGCCACGGAACGGAAACTACTAGGTCGGAACTAAGTTGCCTCCCTCAACCCGGGCCGCACACGTTGCCGCCTTGTATCTTTCCTGGCGACAAACTCGCATCTCGTTCATCATAACTCCAGACATCACCCGGAGGTAACAGAACAAGCGTGGTCCGCCTCGCTTCGCGTGCTTTGCTGCGCACAGGCACGACATCGATTCGCTCTCGGTGTCTAAAATACGTGCGAAAGTCGATTCGAATTGCTCATTCCGGGCTCTCTTGGAGGAACTCGATGACTTGCTTCCACAGCTTGTCCACCGCTGCACTGTCGACGTGCAGCGCAGGGCAGATGCCGGTGTCCTTCGGAAACATACTTGCTTTGCTGTCTTCGGTGCGCATGGCTTCGGCCCGCATGGAAGCTTCCACCAGGCTGTGAGCGGGAGAGTCGGCCGAGCCCATGCGCACGTCTGCTCCTGTCTCGATTGACAGCGGCGTCAGCGGAGCACTGAACACGCTCAAACTGCTGGCACTGTGATCCTCCGTAGCGATGCTTGCGCTGCTAGTGGTACTCCCGCCGCCAAGCGTCACCATACCATCGAAGCTCCCGTTGAAGTTGGTGCGGTGTTGCTCCCAAAGCCGTGCCTCGGCTCGAAGCAGCGTGGATACGAACTCGACATCGGCTTGCGTCGCGGGTGTCTGTGCATTGACCCGCACCATGGCTTCACGTACACGGCCGAGCGAGATCTGTCGTGCCAGACTGGACCCTCCCGTGCGCGCCTGGTGCATGAGATCGGTGCAGATGAGCATCGAAGCACGCACCACCGAGTCGACGTTGATGCGCAGCGAGTTGACCACATTGCAGCGGTGGCGCAGCCGGCCCTGCAGGTCCAGGATATGGTTGGCGAGCGTCACGACTTCAGCCGACACAGCCTCGCCCAGCTGCACCTCGTAGAATCCGAGCATGGCCGCAAAGATGGCCTGGTGCAGCAGCCAGCGCTCGATCGAGTAGCGCTCCTGACATCCGCTCTTGGGCTGGCCCGTATTGACAAGATAGATTTCGTCGATTCGGAAGCCGCGTGGGAGCGCATCGATGAGCTCGCTGAAGCCTTTCTCCACCTTGTGGAACGGCAGAGGCCCGCTGGCGTGGCTGCGCAGCTTCTCGTCAACGAGGCTGCGCACGAGTGTGGCGAGTCGAATCAGCGGCTCCATCCAGCGTACCGGAAGCCACTTGTCACTTGGCTCCTGTAGCGATGGTAGAGGCAGCTCCAAAGGGATGCGTTCGAGTGCCTCATCGCTGACCATCAGCGGCATGCGGGTGGTGAAGTGGTGCGGATGCAGCAGGTACGAGCCCTTCTGCGGCGAGACAAACCAGTCGCGACAGACGAGGAACCACCAGGCTCGGACGCCCATTTCGTTGTCTACTGTCACCGGAACGTCTGCATTGATATGGTCCAGCCTGAGCGTCTGAGCTGCTCGGACGGCATGCAGACGCATCTGCTCCTTGAAGCCTGCCGAGTCGAGGTCGTAGACAACCGTGAGGATGCACGCCTGCAGCTGTTGCAGCGTGGCCTCTGAGCTGAACACCATGCGCTGCAAGAGCGGCGCGGCGAGAGCGTGTAGAGCGTTCTGACGTTCCAAGGGTGTCATGGACGCGCCCAAGTCCTGGCACATGGGCATCAGGTCCGACTCGCTCGCGTCGTGCGGTGCGAATTGGATCGCCATGGCAAGCACTAGAAGCACAACGGCCAGCTCATCCTCACCTACGGCGTCGCTGACCTCGGGCGAGTAGAGTCGCGGAAGCGTCAACTGGAGCGTTGGCAAATGGATGCAGCTGTAGACCATGCTCGAGCAGCGCCAGTAGAAGTGGGTGTCGATCATCCGCTCGGCCACTTTCAAGTCGCCGATGGTCTCGCGCGCGCGCTGAGCCAGCTCTGCCGACACTCGTCTGGAGCGGCTTCCGCCACTCACATCCAGGTCAGGGACGGAGGAAGTCATGGACGCTGCATATGGGCGAGTAGACGTGCGGGCTTGTTGCGCCACAAAGGAGGCAGTCTCAGCCTCGGATGTCACCACGGGCTGAGCGGCGTTTGCCAGGGGTCGATGAGACGACGAATACGGCGAGGCGCGATTGAAGCTGAAGCTGTCGCGAGCCGCGCTGGAAACGCTCCGGGCACCTTTCGAGGCATCCTTGCGGGTGCGTGACTTGCGCATGACACGTTTGCACTCGTCAGCCACCTGGTTGTCGACGCAGTGAGCGCACGGCGAGGCGCCATCGCACCGGATCTTCTTGGTGCGGCAACGGGCGCAGCTATGGTGGAGCATGGTGAGTAGCGGCCTGTCCAGCACGTACGCGAGCTCTCAGCTCGTCAACAGATGGTGGTGATGGTGATGATGATAGAGACAATCGTGTCTCGGTAGAAACGTGATTGCACGAGTCGCTGTGACGGCCGCAAGGAGGTGGCGCAGCATGGAAGCTCGAGTTATGTCCGAAGAGTTCGGAATTTCCGGAGAGCGCGAAGAGAATACTTCCGCGCGCTGTACAGGCCTTCAAACGCGCTCTCACAGACTCCCACAATCACCCTTTCCGCATGGGCCCCAACCCGAATCACGACAATCTGTGAATGAAGGCAATAAGCATTGTTCTTTCATTTGCTCTTTGAAACGAGTGTTGCTCTGTCTCCGTAGGAGTACACGTATCAAGCGGCGGTCAAGCGCGGAGCCTCGTCGTGGGGCACAGCGGTGACGACGGGCTCGGCCACGGTTGCCTTGGCATCAGCGGCTGCCGTAGCACTGCTGACGGTGGAGGAGAGAGTGGCCTCTTCCAGCATGCCAGTGTGTCGAACCGGATCAGCAGCTCCGTCCGCCTTGGTCGCAGGCAGATAGGCGGTGGAAGGGTCGGGTGTGTACAGCTCCTCGCTCATGGCGCTCTCGCTTCCATGCTTCATCAGCGCGCCACTCCCGGGCCGGCTGTTGGTGCTCTGGCCGCTGCCGAGGAAGAACGAGTCCTCGGAGCATGGCGTCTGCGAGTCGGCTCGCTGGATCAGCGCCGCTCCCGGTCGCTCCCAACTATCCTCCTTGTCGTTTGCCTTGTCGGTTGCCTTGTCGGTTGCCTTGTCGGGCGCTCTGCTCGCATCGCCCAGGCTCGCCGTCGAGTCCTGGTTCCCGTCGCCGGGGGAAGCAATCACCTTGACGCTGCCAGGCTTGCGAACGTCGCTGTCGGTGCTGGTGTTGTCCCCAAACTTGTAGGCCGAGCGAGTGCCAAAGCCGCTCTTGGCCATCTCTTGGTTGACCGGTACAGGCGACGCGTTGGACAGATCCAGCCCCTGGATGCGCGGAGCCAAGCCGCTCGTGTCGGTCGTATCCTTGTCCGTGACCGGCTCCACGCCATCGGCGGATGCCGCTTCGGAGGCGCTGTGTGCTGCCTCCTTGCTCGACTCAGACGCTGGCTCCTGTACGGCGAGCTCAGTCGTCTTGGCGTCCGGGTTCTGGCTGAGCTGCTTGAGCTTGTCCATGTCGACGATGGGCATGGTGCTGGCGTCTGGGAAGTTGGCTTTGGCGCTGTTGTCCTTGGCGGCCTCCTTGGCGTCGCTCTTGCTGAAGCTACTGAGGCGGCGCAAGAGCGCGCGAATCGGTCGCTTCTTGGGAGCGGGTCGGTCGGCGGCCTCGAGCGCCATACTCGAACGTCGGCTTGCACTGGCACTCGCCGGCGCACTTCGACGTGCAGCGTCCTGCGTTGCGGGTAGCTCTACCGCGCGGAACGCGACGGGAGAAATGTCGGCATCGCTGTCGGCCGAAACGGCTGCAGACACGGGCGAGAGCGCCAACGTGCTCGTCTCGCCCGTAGGCGTGGCGTAGGCGCTGGCTTCGGCGGACGACGCCGATGCAGCGACAGCATGAGCAGACGAGCCTTTGGCGGAGGAGGCTGCGTCCGACTGCTCCTTGCTTCGGCCAGAGCGGAACATGGTCGAAAGACGTCCGGCCTTCTTCTGCTTGGCAGGAGCGAGCGAGCTGCGTGAGCCCTTGTCAGAGACGGCCAGCGAGTTGCGTCGGCTGGGGACATGGATGCTGTTGTTCTCTGACTGTACCGCCGATGTCGGCTTGCCAGCAAGGGAAGAGGCATCGGCAGCGTCAGCCACCTCGCTGCTGCCGTTGACGGCATCGCCAGCTGCAGAATCGGCAGACGAGTCCTGTGCGGCGGCCTCCTTCTTGAGGTTGGTGAAGGAGGGACTCGGGCTGGGTGCGCGGCTGCCAGCGCGGCTACCGAAGGGCGTGAGGCGCTTTCCGTTCTCCTTGGGAGGCTTGGTGAGCCCCTGGAGCTCTGCCTGCGGGTCGTTCATGGTCATGGTGAGCACGGGCCGACGCTTGGCATTTGGCGAAGTCTGCGCGGCGGACCACGTCGAGGCTCCCGACAGGCTGCGCGACACGGCGACCTGGTTTGGAGTGTGGTAGACGCTGGTCTTGTTGGCGTAGGCCGTGGTTGCGTCGAAAGGCGAGGATTCCTGGGTAAGCGGGATACCGAACGGATCCAGGTTGTCCAACGACGAGACGCCGGCTCGCGTGGCACCTGGAGGCAGGCTCGGGTAGGGTGAACCGCCGAGACCGAGGAACATCTCTTGGGGGACGAGGCCATTGGTGGGATCGGCAGGCAGGCCGGATACGGTGGAAGGGGATCCAACGCCAACCTTGCTCTTGGCATCGCTGGCGCGGCTGCGAGGGTTGGAGCGGGAGGAAGGGGAGAGAGGGGTCATGGGTTTGAGTGCGCCAGAGGCGGCACCGACGGGGATGATGGAGTCGTCCTGGAGGGGCGAGTCTTCGAGGATGCTGGGGAAGGAGCGTCTGCGCGGGTCGTTAAAGGCGGCGGCCTTGGATCGCAAAGGCGACGAGCTGCCGCTGCGGCTAGGTCTGGCGAAAGGTGGCTGGAACTGCTGCTGCTGAAGTTGTTCTGCGATGGCTTCAGCCGCGAGCTCACGTGCGAGGAGGTCGAGGTCGCGTGTGTCGACGTAGCGGCGTTGGCGGCCGCCTGGGGTGGTTGTGCCAGAGGTGGTGGTGGAAGCGATGATGGGGCTGTTGGAGGTGGGCGTAGGAGTCTCTGATCCTTCTGAGGCTTCCTTCCTTTCTCGACGTGAGCGCGCGCTCATGGAGCGGAGGAAGCTCTTGCGTCTCTGCACGCCGGCGCCCTGTCCAGCCGCGTCGGACTTGGAGCGGTCACGCTGCGAGGGTGTCTGTGAGGGCTCGGTCAGCGACGCCTGGGCTGGGGCGACGGCCTCTTGGCTGGCGTTGGCGTCTGGAGAGACAGTGGGTATGGGGGAGAGGCTGGAGCTCATGCGCTTGGGAGAGGCGGGCGCCGAACGACCTTTCTTGCGAGTCTCTACACGCGCCTGCTGGCGGGCGGCCTCCAGAACGAGCTGGGCGGCGCGTGCGAGCATGTGGTTGTCCGTGCTCGCGGAGCCATTCTCGCCGTGAGACGGCTGTCTGCTCTTGGGTGGAGGTGTGGTGCAGGGTGTATCGCCATCTGCGATCGTAGCGCCGTCTGGATGGGCCAGAGCGATGGTGTCGTCGCTGACGTGCATGGATGTGCGCTCGGCGGGTGCAGGCTGTTCTGGATGCGGTTGCGAGGGCGGTGAGGAGGACTTTGGCGGGGTAGCCGTTGCGAGCACGTCCGGATTGATGCCACTGGCGGTGAGTGCGGCGATGGTCTGGGAGACGGTGGGGAGTTGGGATATTGAGGTGGGTGGGGAGGGAGAGTCGGCGGTGGAGGCGGAGGCGGTGTTGGTGGTTGCGGCGGATGATATGGATGGGCGCTCGACAAAGATGGGCTGACCGAGGCCGCGTGCCTGTGCATGCGACTGGGCTGCTGCTGTGCTGCCGGAGGCGAGGGCCGCTTCTGCCTGGAGGGATTCTGCGAGCTTGCGATCGGCATCTGTGAAGGAGTCCATAAATGGCTCGGGAGCCTGTTGAGGGCCCCAGTTGACGCCGCTCCTGAACTTTCCTGTGGGCTTGCTTAGTTCGGCGAGATTGGCTCCCGAGGTGGGATCTGCCGAGAGCGACTTGCGGGATGCACGGGAGGAGATGCGCCTGCCGATAGAGGGGCGGCTGTGTGGCTCGTGTGCATCGTTGGGGATGTCGGCGGGTGGTTGTGTGCGTTGGGAAGCGGAGCGTGTGAAGCGCGCCAGCACGCTGGCGCCGATGGAGCTTGACGAGGACCGGCGGAAAGGATTGGATTGGCTGCCGAAGCGGGATGTGGAGGGAGGGGCGAGAGAGGAGGAGGAGGAGGGGATTGCATGCGCGGTTGTGCTTGCGCTTGCGCGTGCGTGTGCGCGTGATGCAGCCTCAGCCGTAGCTGGCGAGGAAGCTGATGGTTGGGAGTCCATGGACGAGTGTATCGAAGCAGACGGAGCAAAGTTTGTGGTGGGATGTCTTGGCGAGTGCGCAAGCAGGCTCTGGCGCAGCCGATCTGCCGAGCTTGATTAGCGGGAAGGCTGCTGCCGCCGACGGAGACGCGGGTCGAAACAAGGTTGAGTTGATGCGCGGCAGCGGATGAATGACGCAAGCTTGGCGCAGTGCCAAAAGCCTATGGTGTTGTAGCTTGGCGCGACGGGGGCGTATTGGGTTGTACGTGCACGTGGAGAGCGCCTCGAGGTAGTTGAGTGCGGTACGACGACCGTGGCTGGGAGAGCGCGGATCAGAGCATGGATGGCGCGCTCCAGTGTTGAAGATGGATGCGATCGTGGACGGCCTTGTGGAAGCGGGACCCGTTGGTGGTGATGAAGATAGGACGAGGAGTAGTGGAGAGAGAAGCGGGAAGGTTGATTGACCTGGCTCGCTGCTCGCTCGCCCGCCCGTCGTCGACCTCGACGAGTGCGAGGCGGATGGACGGTGCAGCGCCTGTTGCTCTCTCTCTGCCTCTGTTCGGTCAGGGCGGCGCCGATCTGAGCGTGTTCATGCAGGTGGGAGCTGGTGGAGCTGCAGGTTGCACTTTTGAATTTCAGAGCCGCTCCTTCGCTCTCTTTCGCCCTCTTTCGCTCTCTCTCTCTCTCTCTCTCTCTCTCTCTCTCTCTC